TAATTACAGATATGGTTAGCTGACTAATTAGTTGAGATATAGCTAGGGCCTACTAATTACAGATATGGTTAGCTGACTAATTAGTTGAGATATAGCTAGGGCCTACTAATTACATTTATGGTTAGCTGACTAATTAGTTGAGATCTAGCAAGGACCTACTAATTACAGATATGGTTAGCAGACTAATTAGTTGAGATCTAGCTAGGGCCTCGTCTAATTACAGATATGGTTAGCTGACTAATTAGTTGAGATATAGCTAGGGCCTACTAATTACAGATATGGTTAGCTGACTAATTAGTTGAGATATAGCAAGAGCCTACTAATTACAGATATGGTTAGCTGACAAATTTAAAAAGATTATTCAAAATAAAAATTTGGGCTGTCAAATGGACATAAGGTAAAAGAACTCAGATTATGAGATGGAAAAAAGATAATTTGCAAATATTCACTTTTTAAAAAAATGTTTTAATACAATTATTATTCCTTGAGATTGTTTCTTTTTTTAAAAACATACTGAATTACAGTTAACAATTGAATAAAACTATTTTTTTCTGTTCATTCCTCTGAGTTCAGTCATAAAATCTCTTATGTATTTACTAATTAGCTGAGATATAGCTAGGGCCTACTAAGTACAGATATGGTTAGCTGACTAATTAGTAGATATATATCTAGGGACTACTAATTACAGATATGGTTAGCTGACTAATTTTTAAGTTTAGACGAAGTGGGTTAGGGTAAGTTTGAATCGGACATGCCACTCTACAGACGGAAGGTCACTTGATATTATGTCTACAGTCTCACCTTAAAGCTAATTATTTAAATCCATCTATTCCAAATCCATTTTTTCAATAGCCCCTCTCATCCAAAATTTTAGTTGCATGATCCAAGCCGGGACAATGTGCTTGTACTGTATATGCATTCAGTCGTACCATCCAGTCTGGCTAACCAGCATAGAATCGACCCAGGACGTTTAATTCAACAAATATATGTCTGGCAATTTTACAGCGCTCAACACGCAACCTAATAAATGTTTGCATTCTAATTAAATTTTACTGTTTAGAATCTCTCATCCAGCGAGGGCTTGTCTGCTTCTTCTACAGTAAGAACGGTTTTTAAAGACTTACTTATTTAAAGCCTTTGTACAAACATTACTGACCCATGATTCCCCCAACCAATGGACGTTAAGTTACTTAGCGTCCATTGGAACATTTAAGTAAAATAACGACGGAAAATATTCGTTCATTTTCATCTCAGAAAATATCTAAAATTTACTACTTTCGGGGAATTTAAAATTTTACATTAATTCGACCATTAGGTCCTAGGAACTCTGGTAATAAAAGGGGGGGGGGGGGGTTTAAAAATACTAGGACATTTTTATTCCTTGAACAAGGTTTACAAACTTTGGTTTTACTTTTTGGCCCGCGATGGGGTGGGTACGAAAATTTTAATAATTTTCATGAATATTTTACGACATTTTATCCAGGCGTTCAGGTCTTCAGTTCGAGGAGAAGAAGTTGGATTTGTTCAAGGGAGATCATCTTAAAACAAAGGTTAACAAACTTTTTGTAAACAAACTTTTTAAACAAACTTTTTGTAAACAAACTATTTGTAAACAAGCCATTTGTAAGCTTGACCACTTTATAAATCAGCAATTTGCAAACAATTTAAAAATAAACAATTTGTAAACAAAAAAATTGTTAACAAACAATTTGTAAGCAAACAAATAGTAAGTAAACATTTTGTAAACAAACAAATTGAAAACAGATAACTTGTAACAAACTATTTGTAAATTTGCAATTTGTAAACAAATTTTATGTAAATTTGCATGTTGTAAACACACTATTTGTAGACATACAATTTGTAAATAAACAATTTACAACACAAACAATTTGTTAACAAAAAATTTATAAACAAAAATTTGTTAAAAAAATTTGTTAACAAACAATTTATAAACAAACAATTCACAAACAAAAAATTTGTTAACAATCAATTTGCTAACAAAAAATCTGTAAACAAACAAATTGTAAGTAACATTATGTAAACAAACAACTTGTGAACAAACTATTTGTGAATTGGCAATTTGTAAACAAACTTTATGTAAATTTGCAAGTTGTAAACACACTGTTTGTAAATAAACAATTTGTAGACTTAAAATTTAAAACAACAATTTGTAAACAAACAATTTAAAATCAACAATTTATAAAGAAACAATTTATAAACAAACAATTTGTTAACAAACGATTTATAAACAAACAATTTACAAACAAAAAATTTATTAATAAACAATTTGCTGACAACAAATTTGTAAACAAACAAACTATATTTAAGTAAACGTCTTGTAAACAAACAACTTGTAAACAAACTATTCGTGAATTGACAATTTGTAAACAAACTATATGTAAATGGGCAATTTATAAACAAACAATTTGTGAAAACACAATTTATAAGCAAACAATTTGTTAACAAACAATTTCTAACAGAAAACATTTTAGAGGAACAATTATTCAAGTAAGGTCATATTGTTCAAACATTTTAAAGTATAATTTTTCTATTTTAGGAACTACCTTTAAAGAAGATCCCTGTATTAATTGGTAAACTTTTATTCAAATCATTAGTTTTCATGTCAGTCCTATTTTGATTCACTTTCAAGCTAAGAAAATGTTCCGCATAAGTCACTTGAAGTAACGCTTGAAGTCTATTTAAATTGAATATTAAAATTACAAAATTATTATGATAATAATATTCTGACTGATAATTTTATCTAGACAATGGATTTGTTCTGGCTGAATCCACCACAATACTAAGATATATTGCCTTGAAATCAGGTAAACATGAAGCAAAAAAAACCTGGAAAATATTCACAAGAAACAAATTTTTTTTTATTTTTTGTTTAAAGTAAACCGTTAATGGTAATTTTTCTGTTTGTTGGTATTTAAGCATAATAAACCTGTAAGCTCAATTCTGATCTATCTTCAAAACGTCAAATAAAATTTTAAGAATTGTCCAGAAAATGATATTGTCATTGTTAAATAAATATTAAATTAATGAAAACAAATTCTGAAACGGTCTAAAAAAAATTTTACGTTTTATTTTTTTTTCAAATTTTATCATTAAGGCGAAAATTACACAAATCTCTATTTTGATTTTTACTAGGTGATCAATCGGTGTACCCTGCTGATATCCAAGCAAGAACCAAGGTTATTTTTTCCCTCTTCCAAAGACCCTCAATACTAGGGCAGTCAATTATCAATATTTGGACAGACCATTATAAATATTTGGACAGTCCATTATCAATATTTGGACAGACCATTATAAATATTTGGACAGACCGTTATCAATATTTGGACAGACCGTTATCAATATTTGGACAGACCATTATCAATATTTGGACAGACCGTTATCAATATTTGGACAGACCGTTATCAATATTTGGACAGTCCATTATCAATATTTGGGCAGACCATTATAAATATTTGGACAGACCATTATCAATATTTGGACAGACCATTATCAATATTTGGACAGACCGTTATCAATATTTGGACAGACCATTATCAATATTTGGACAGACCATTATAAATATTTGGACAGACCATTATAAATATTTGGGCAGATCATTATCAATATTTGGATAGACCATTATCAATATTTGGACAGACCGTTATCAATATTTGGACGGACCATTATCAATATTTGGACAGACCATTATAAATATTTGGACAGACCATTATAAATATTTTGGCAGATCATTATCAATATTTGGATAGACCATTATCAATATTTGGACAGACCATTATCAATATTTGGACAGACCATTACAAATGTTTGGATAGACCATTATCAATATTTGGATAGACCATTATCAATATTTGGGCAGACCATTATAAATATTTGGATAGACCATTATCAATATTTGGATAGACCGTTATCAATATTTGGATAGACCATTATCAATATTTGGGCATAGACCATTATCAATATTTGGACAGACCATTATCAATATTTGGATAGACCATTATCAATATTTGGATAGACCATTATCAATATTTGGACAGACCATTATCAATATTTGGACGGACCATTATCAATATTTGGATAGACCGTTATCAATATTTGGATAGACCATTATCAATATTTGGGCAGACCATTATCAATATTTGGACAGACCGTTATCAATATTTGGATAGACCATTATAAATATTTGGACAGACCATTATCAATATTTGGACAGACCATTATAAATATTTGGACAGACCATTATAAATATTTGGATAGACCGTTATCAATATTTGGACAGACCATTATCAATATTTGGGCAGACCATTATAAATATTTGGATAGACCATTATCAATATTTGGATAGACCATTATCAATATTTGGACAGACCGTTATCAATATTTGGATAGACCATTATCAATATTTGGACAGTCCATTATCAATAATTGGACAGACCATTATCAATGTATGGGACAATCCATTATCATGTATCAATATTGGGGGATTCTATAATCAATATTGGGGCGGTCTATTGTCAATAATGTTACTCCTATTGGGGCAGTCCATTATCAATCAAAGGGCAGTGTTTATGATCAATGTTGGGGCAGTTGCTCTTTGGTCAAAATCGGGATCATTTGAAAACCTTTATCAAGGTATCTATGTAATTCTTAAAACCTGTATCTGAGTAACTATCATAAAAACATGGTCGTGTTTCTATTTAGAAAAAAAAATAATTCACATTTTTGTTTGACATTTGTACATAATGTACACAATGTTGTATCAGTATATTGTACTGTACAGTGTACTGCATAAACATTATAGATTGATGAATGCCTGGATTTCTGGCAATCCTCACTCAATGCTAATGTACTACGCCTTGTTCAGAATAAACTCATGTGGAAGGTAAACAACAAGTAACAATATTAATACTAAGAATAAATATCAATAACAATAACAATAACAAAAACAATAACATGATACAGTAATTGTCAAAAAAGGTAGTGAAAGTCGTCTTCGACCCAATCTATATAATACAACAAGACATTCGTATTATATGTTTCCTATGGCCGGCTAAACGTCTGAACCAAATGGACTAACATTTTTTGAGGACACTCATGATTAGCCTGGGGATAGACTAAAAATCGATTTTTTTTTTCAATTTTTTTTTCTTAAATGTTTTCAATTTTTGTTTTTCTCGTGCAACACCTGGCCATTTAGCTTATAATTGAAAATAAAATTAACAGTAATAGCTCGGAAAACATCCCCTTACCTTGTTTAGAGAAAAGGTAGTTTTAAACTTCACAATCTAAATTTTGAGAAAAGAAATTTATCTATATTTGTAGTTGATGTTGAGAAGAAAGGAACCGGATCATAAACTTATTCAAGAAATAAATAAGGTAAAATAAAGAGTTGGTGTTTCGAACATTTTTGCTTTTGAATAGTTTTTACAAATTCATGAAGGAAATAAATAACTTTTTTCATTGTTTCTTTTGTTATATGTGAACATTTTAATTATTTCCAACTACTTTACTGGAAAGTTTCGGGAATTTTGATTGACCAATGGTTTCCAAGAACTCTGGATGTTATGTAGGCAAAACTTCTCGAAATAGTAGTTTTACACAATTTTATAAACTTTTGAGAAAAAATGCGCAAAATATTTCACGAAAACACCACAGAGTGGGAAGTAATTTTATTTGTATGTCCAAATTGAGAACAGTTATGGAATTTAACATTCCGCTGTTGGCGAAATCATTAATCGTTAATAATGGTCAAATGGCAGTATCAAATGTTTAACATTTTGAAACATTTAAATTATTATATTTAGCTTCACACGATGAACAAGAAGGCATTCAATTCATACTTTCTGTCAGGAAAACCATTCGTAGGTAAAAAAAAGCTAATTATTGTACCTACCTATCATTAATAAAAATTTGAAAACCTCATTTTTATTTTGGATCTGAGTCTGGGTTTTCAATCTTATTATAAAAACTTAAAAGCTACTTTATATTAATTATGTCACACTCTAAATATACTCCTAACACCGAGTCATCATTATTAGTGTATTTTCAAGTCAGAACTTTTCTTGATCAAGCATTGATCTCCATCTTTGCAAACCTACAGATTAATTTATTCTTGGTGTCTCACTAATACCCTGCAGGGATAACTTTTATTTTAGGATAAAGCATTGAACCTCGAATTAATAATTGCCCACGTGGATATTGAGATCAAGCGTTCAAAATTAAGGATTCCTTATACATTAATTGTTGGCTTTCATAGTACTATGTTAGTTTATTGGATTTTTGATAATATATTTGTTGTACTTTAGGTGGAGATAATGTTTCAATAGCTGACCTATTAGTGGCTGTAACCTTGGAACAATCTACGATAGCAGGTAACAGCTGACCTCTCAATATTTTTAACGGCTGACCTCTCAATATTTATAACAGCTGACCTCTCAATATTTACAACAGCTGACATCTCAATGTTTATAACAGCTGAACTCTCAATATTTATAACAGCTGACCTCTCAATATTTAAAACTGCTGACCTCTCAATATTTATAACAGCTGAACTCTCAATATTTACAACAGCTGACCTCTCAATATTTAAAACTGCTGACCTCTCAATATTTATAACATCTCAATATTTATAACAGCTGACCTCTCAATATTTACAACAGCTGACCTCTCAATATTTATAATAGCTGACCTCTCTATATTTATAATAGCTGACTTCTCAATATTTGCAAAAGCTGACCTCTCAATATTTACAACAGCTGACCTCTCAATATTTATAACAGCTGACCTCTCAATATTTACAACAGCTGACCTCTCAGTATTCACAACAGCTCTGACCTCATAATATATGGTTGAAATCTTTAATTGTCAATACCCAATTTACAACAGTACAATGTAGAGTGTGCACCTTTTTCTTAGCCAACAATATGAAGATATTATTTTTTTAATAAAAAATTGATAATTTCTATTTGTAATTTATAAACTTATGTCTTTTATAATATAAAACGACGATATCTTGTTCATTGTTGTTCAGATAGAGGTTTAAAGGTACTGTTGTGAAACAGGCCATGTAACACTTTAATTTGAGTTTATTTTGTGATAACATCTGTACTCTGTGTCCCTTTAATTTGAGGTTTACTTTGTGATAACATCTGTACTCTGTGTCCCTTTAATTTGAGGTTTACTTTGTGATAACATCTGTACTCTGTGTCCCTTTAATTGATTCTGATTTCAAATATCTAGGAGTTGATAACAGTGCAGAACAAGGGTTTATATCCCGCGTTAAACAGGAGTTTAAAGAATATGATTCTGTTCATGAGGTAGTATATGGATTATCTTTATTTATAAAGTATTGACAGATAACAGTAAACACACCAGATAAACTTGAATAATAGGCCCGTCGGAATTCTGGTGGGGGATATTTATTCTCCCCGGACAAATCTTTCCCGGTTGGCCGCAAACACACACAACAGAGTAACCCCCATCTCAAGAAATCGATAACAAAAGCTTTATTTCCTAAAAAATAACATAAATTATAGGTCATGGTTACTTGTGCAATGTTATAATAAATAGTAGTAATAGAGAAAATCTTACGATTTATTTGCGGATGATAAAGGGGTAACTTATTGTTGATCAGTATTGAAATACGTTTTTAAAACTTCTGAAATAAATTACAGTTGAATATTTAACGAAATTCACTAATTCTTCATATGAAAATATTCTTCCTTCCATGATATGTTTAATTCTTTAGCTGAACCAAATTGAACAAAATCATATAAACTTTGAACGGGTTCTCTTTAAAACTCTAGAATGTTTTCCCTCTGCTTTATTTCCAAAAATATGGAATTCGATTGAATTAGAGCTGAAAGAAACTAAATCTGCAAAATCGTTTAAAAAAAAGTCGCCAAGATCTCTTTAGATAGTTATGCAAATTATATCTGTAAAAAAAAAACTGTATCATGTGGATAAACTTAGTCTTTACTATCTTCATCACCCTGTAGTTCATAAACATGATTTTAATAACTTATGTTAGTACCTCTGTTCCAACCCTTACGCTGAGTATCCTCCCTTTCCCTTATACTCCCTCACCTCCTCCTTACCATTTTCCTGATTTATCATCATTCTTATGTTTAAAATGTACAATGTACATTGTTTTTATCTGCAATTCTCATTCGTTTATAGTGGGCCAACCAATTAAAACAACCTACTCTGGTAAGGCGGGTCCAAAGTAAATTGTGATTTTTTTATTTGTATTATCTCGTGCTTTGTAGTTGAATAAAATATATGAAATATATGAAGTTCGGTTTGTTTGGTTGTTTGTCCTATTATAACTCAAGCCCATGGACTGAGTTGACTCATTTTTTTTATTGGGGATGAACCATATGAATGTTCTTAGCTGGGTTTAAAGATTCCTAAATTGAGTCGGTTTTCTTTTTCAAGAAAGTATTTCCGGTTAAGGCTGGGTTTTCAAGCCAACGAAAATCACAAAATAACCCTGGTTCTGACAAAATGTGGTCTGCCTTTTTTTGTGTTCAAAATCACAAGGGATATGATGATTTCATGCAAAGAAAATTTTATTTAAATGAAATCCAACCAAAATTATTTACATCTCTATTCTCTGGTATAAGATGCATTGGATAACATGAAAATACATAAACGATCTCTTCCAAATCATAAACTTGATGCTAGTGCATGTTTCCAAGTAGTTTTCAAGGGGTTCAGTGGCTTCAAAATTAAAATATAGTTTTTGTGGCCACCCTACCCTACTTAGTACTTAATTACCTCTTTCACTATCTTTTTATAATTAAATTACATATAATGCATATCCTATAGGGAGTAGAAGTATAAGTAATTAACAAAATGGATTAATAGAAAAGCACTCAAATCATTTCCTAGTCTTGGCAAAGATATATCAATTTTTAAAACAAAATGTTTGATTTTTTAACAATTTGATTATTTGACTTATTAGTTGATTTTGATTTTGATTTAAGTGAAATAAGTGAATTTTATGATCATGTAAAATGATTTTTAATTGGTTTAGGTTTTCTGCTTGAATTTGGATTTATGAATTTATGAATTTTGCAAACATCAAGCAAAATTACAGGCTCTTGAGACCTTTGTTTAATCAAATTTTCCAAATGAATTTATTATTCTCCTCTTGTGAGCAATTTTATTTAATTACTGTATAAATTCTCGATTGATTTCTGAAATAATTCGATTCATTGATTTTTGAATGAATTTCAGGACCTTGGTAAATTAATTGGCAGGCTTGAACAGATGAAAATGTTGTAGTGCAGAATGTGTTTATATGTAAAAATGGGTGTTAAAATTTAAAATATTTTTCAAATTTTAATTGTGAATAAAGACTGGTTTATTATTCATTTTATTGTGAGAAGAGTTACTAATTACTTTCTATATATTATAAAAAAATTTTGTGGACAGTCATGGGTAGGGTTGTTAATCGTATTTGAAAACGATTGTTAAATAATCGTTTTTTTGTTTTGTATTTCAATCGTTTTAAAAAAAAGATTGTTTCATTTTCGGAAAAAAACGATTGTTTTTACAAAGGACCCACTCGTTTTGAACTTAAGAAAATGAATAACGATCATTTTTGAAAACGACTTGCGTCTGTTTTTTGCGATTGTTTTTTAAAAAGCGATAGTTTTTGAAAGAAAAAAAATTTATTGACAATAATGTTAAGGATCGTTAACAAATTGTTGTCCTTAACGAAGGGTTGTCGTTAACGAAACGGTAAAATTGATAAAATGGTTGTATAAAAAAAATGTTAAAACAAGCTTGTAGCAATATTGCGATCTGGCGGTTAAATTTTGGTTTCTACTTACATAGTTTTTCAGGTTTATTTATATATTGAAAAAAAAGAAAAACACGCTAATAGTTGAAAAAAGGAAAAGTATGGAAAAAAGGAAGTTTTAGCGAATTCCGTACACTCGTTTCTGTAGTCTCATCCTTTATGGGTAACCCTGTAACATATTTTTGTTCCTGTTATTGTTACTTGCATCAGTTGGAAGAAAGATGCAGTGCTGTAAACAACTCCTGTCTTAAGGGTCTCCCAACTCCTTCATGAACCAGCCACAGATCCCAGCCCTTTCAGCAGTGCTAGTTTCAAACCTCCTAAACCAACTACTCCTCTACACGAGGATACTCTCACATTCGAGATGAACCCAACTACTCCTCTACACGAAGATACTCTCACTTTCGAGATGAACCCAACTACTCCTCTACGTGAGGATACTCTCACTTTCGAGATGAACCCAACTACTCCTCTACATGAGGATACTCTCACTTTCGAGATGAACCCAACTACTCCTACATGAGGATACTCTCACTTTCGAGATGAACCCAACTACTCCTCTACATGAGGATACTCTGATGAACCCAACTACTCCTCTACATGAGGATACTCTCACTTTCGAGATGAACCCAACTACTCCTACATGAGGATACTCTCACTTTCGAGATGAACCCAACTACTCCTCTACATGAGGATACTCTCACTTTCGAGATGAACCCAACTACTCCTCTCCACGATGATACTCTCACTTTCGAGATGAACCCACACCAAAGCCTAGATAGAGGTGATGCTGCTGACAAGATGATGAGATCCTGCGTGCAGTTCTTCATGAAGTTCAGCTGTTCCCCACTCTGAACTCTAAATCTGCTGAGAAGAATCCTACCATTATGTTTCCAGTTCCAATTGATGTACTCGGTCTATTTATGAAAAAAAGAAAAGAGTCAGAAAATTAGTTGATACTTTTTATTAAAATACTTAATTATCAATTCATGATTCATAGTTATGTAATCATAAAACTACATATTACAACATTTAGTACTTGTACATGTTATTAAGTCAGTTATGTAATAAAAAATAAGACGTATGAAAAAAAATTGTTGCTTGCATAGATATTGGTAAAAAATAAACAGATAATACCACTTACAAGAGATTATTGATATTTTAAAAAAATTTAACAGATTTAAACTTTTGTAAAAAAGATTTTTCCTCCTCTAAATATTACTTCCTCTGTAGTCTGAAGTTCCTTGATTTTCCTCCTATAGTTCTTGTGTAATAAATATCGGGTAACACTAGATCTGTAAACCCTAACTATGTTGTACATTATTATTAATATCTATGTTGTAAATAGCTTCGTAAAAACCATCTTGTGAGTTATCTTAACTGCGCTGTAAATAACTCAATAATATGATTAGTTTAATTGCATTTTATTTAGATCAACGTAAAACTAGTTTAATTACGTTGTACAGTGAAACCCTTTATAACGAATACATCGGAAGAATTTATCAAATGTCATCTTGACAATTGTTCAATGAGTTTTATACTAAATTACGTAAATTTGAGTAATTGCGAAAATAAATAAATGGCCATGAATATACGGGAACAGTTTCAAAGAGTTCCATATAATCATTTAATTAAAAAAACTAAATATCTGCAACATTCCATTTTCAGAAAGTGAAGAATACGACATTTGATGAATTCTCTCGATGTATTCGTTTTTAAGGGTTTCACTGTATATAAATCGTAAAACTTGTAAGTACGATGATTAAAGCTAACTTGTAACATAGTTACAAGTTACCTAAATATGGTTAGTTGGTACAGACTCCGCTTTGGCTACGGTGAGAGAGTAATCCTTCCTCATTTGAACGTACGAGTTGAGGAGATTATGCCCATTGGTTTGGCATTGATAGTTTAAAGTAAGTGTCCATGTTGACATCAATAGCTCACAAGATTGTGCTCATTGGTTTGGCACTGATAGTTTACAAGCTAGTGTTCGTATGACATTAATAGCTCACAAGATCGTGCCGATTGGTTTGGCACTAATAGTTTACAAGCTTGTGCCTGTGTTGACATTGATAGCTGACAAGATTGTGCCCATTGATTTAACATTGATAGTTTGGCACTAATAGTTTACAAGCTTGTGTCCGTGTTGACATTGATAGCTGACAAGATTGTGCCCATTGATTTAACATTGATAGTTTACAAGCTTGTGTCCGTGTTGACATTGATAGCTGACAAGATTGTGCCCATTGATTTAACATTGATAGTTTACAAGCTTGTGACTATGTTGACATTGATAGCTGACAAGATTGTTCCCATTGATTTAACATTGATAGTTTACAAGCTTGTGTCCATGTTGATATTGATAGCTGACAAGATTGTGTCCATTGGTTTGGCATTGATAGTTCATGAGCTCGTGTCTGGGTTCTGACCTTGATAGCGAAGTGAAACTGAGTTGTACCTGGATAGATACGGGTTTGAGAAACCCTTATGAAGTAGGGCATTTACTACATTTGTTCAATACAGGTTTTATTTTTTATTTTATAAAGTTCTTTTCCTAATATATAGAGTAATTTATGTAAAACGAGCATTTGTATTCAAGACGCCTGGTGGATGTTATGCCTTTATTAAAAGTGCTGGGCTGTTGTGCATTACTTTTCCCCCCTCCGATATTCCTTCCCCCCCCCCCCCCCTCCCCCTCTGATATTTTCTACAATTTCCATTGCTACGTATTATAACGTAAAGTTAAAACAAAGAAAATTATAGAATTAATTTAGCTAAAAACGATTTTTTATTTTAACAAGTATGACGGCGCCCCATTTCTAGATACGAAATATGCTTTCAAGCCAAAAATATTCCTTCGTAGGTCGTAAAACTAATTGATACCACAACAAACTTAGGTCCAATCGGTTCAGTAATTATGACGATTATTGATTTAAATAAGCAGTATATTCATTCGCTGGCGGGGAAAACTGAGGCACGACGGTTGCTCAAGGGTTGTTATAAACAAGCAAACAGTAAAAAAGGTTTTACATTATTTTAATTGCATTCTTTTTATTAAATAATAAAGCTTAACCGAATGCAATGGTTTCCTTGTCTTGTTGCAAAACTGTTTTTATTTTACAATTGTTTTAATTGAGAATTGGAAAATGAGATTGAAATAGTTTAATCAAGCAAGATAAGTTTAACTAAATCATTTGAGTTTGTGTTTATAAATTGCGTTTTTATATTCTTTGAAACGATCTAAACCGTTCGCTCATCGTTTTTTTTCTGAACGACACACGGTAAAAGTCTGGTTGATTTCAAGTGCCGGGCTGACTGCTAAGGGAGCAGGGCAAGCTGGACATTGTACAGTACTGCACATACAGACTACTCAAGACAAAACGGGACAGTACACCAATTTAATTAGGTTCTTATAGGGAAAATAAAGTGAATACCATCGTTTACGAAAAATTTCGTCTGTTCAGAAAACAATGCACATTTCTAGTCAGGTGACAAAATGGCCGCAGATTACAAATTTACAGATTCAAATTTATAAATAAATTTCGTTCTTTATTTATCTAATTTAAAATGCAAGTTTTGAAGTTTAAATGAATGGATCTAAATTAAAAACAAATTATAAATTAATTTGACTAATTGATTAATCTAACTTCTGATACTTTTTCTCTATATATTCTAATTAACAGAATTAATTATTTGCATGCTGATATCTAAATAAAATTTTCTTTTTACATTTAAACTTCAAATTTTTTAAAAGATCAATTTAAAAAATGATATTATAGAAGATTATATTTTTTAGGAACTTTCGTTGTAGCTTAAAGTGATTTATCATTTAAATAGTGGAAAAAATATTAAAGAAAATGTATACCAGCCAATTGGCATACATACACCTTGTTTTATCTTTATATATATATAATAATAGCTGAAGATGGAGACAAATATTTAAAATTTTGATTTTCATAAACCTTCCCTGGGGTCCCTAGATGTCCCACAAAAAATTTGGGCCCGATCGGTTCAGCCGTTTTGACGTTTATTGGATACAAACAGACAGACAGACAGACAAACAAACAAACAAACAGACAAGCCAAATTTATAGATATATTATATATATATTATCCATAGTGTTTCGTCTTTCCGCTTTGAGGCTTTATAAACCTTTCCCTCAGGTTATGTCAGTTATCACGAAGTTGTGACAAAATTTTGACGTTTTGAAAAAAGACATACCAAAAGAAAAATATATCATGTATATAAAAAGTTATCTCTTCTTGTATGTCCGATCATAACTCATGAACCTCTTGACCAATTTGGAAATTCTAGGTGCAGGGTAGAATAACCTTTATAGAGAAAAATCCAGGAAAAGCATTATATTTCGTGATGGAAAACTATTTTCGATAATAATTTTCAATAATAAGTTTCAGACCCGCCGGGTCAGGGCAGGGACTGGGCACATTCTTAAATCTAGAGAGAGAGAGAAAAAAATCACCTGCATATAGTAGTATGAATTTTCAATTTTATTCACAGCATCAACCCTTCTTATACATGCCAAAAGAACTAAATCTTTGCCACAA